TCACACAGCCTCTGTGATGTCACTGTCCAGTCTGTGATGTCACACAGCCAGCTGCTGTGAGAAACAAAGACCAGTTCCTTTGGAAAGGCCTTTATTAAGAACAGCTCTTGGGTGGGGAACCCAAGGGGTCGCGCACACTGCCACTGCTCCCGCAGGACGATGCTGAGGAGGAGGAGTGCAGCTTTGTCTCACGGCAGAGCTGGGGCTTCCGTCCTCATGAGAGTCCTTAGGAAGACAATGTTGGCTCGTAGTTTAAGAGTGTCATCCAGACTGAGTACTCTTCAAGCCATGGCGACAGGATGGAATCTGGCTCTGTAAATGGTGGGTGATTCCCGCTGGTGCAGCCAGGTTAAAATCATAGTTTATGTGCTGGTTTGTTGTTTTTGAGAGAGTTCATACCATACCAACAGCTCCTCGTTAAATTCAGTCCGGGTGCAAGTCCCTCCAGGAGCAGGGGAAGTGGTTCCTGACCCAACAGAAAGGGATACAAGTACAGGGGTGCAAGTCCTTCTGGGAGCAGGAGAAGTGATTCCCAATGGAAAGGGATACAAACACAGGGTAAGATAGTAACACTCAACAATGGCAAACAAAGGCAAATCTCAGAACTCTAACATTCTACATTCAACAACAGACTAACACTTCCAATTCAGATCCTTTTAACTTCATTAACATTAACTAGCAATTGCCACTCTGAAAAAGAGCTCCCATCTCCAGTGTTTCATTTCTCACAGCTGTGACATGTCACACAGCAAACTCTATGATGTCACACAGCCCCTGTGATGTCACACAACCTTGGCTCAGTGCTGGGCAGCCCCAGCACCGTCCCAGCAGTGGCCTTTCCCTCCTGCCCTGTCCCTCAGCCGGTGCCACCCTTGGGGCGCTGGGCCTTGGCTCCCTCTTCTCCCTGGGCATCCCCTGCTGCCCGCCCTCCCAGGGCATCCCAGGGAGCTGCTGCCTCTGAGCCAGGGGCTCTGCTCTGCTGCCCTGGGCACCCCGGGGCTCCTGAAACACCCCATGGCCAGGGCGAGTCCAGAGTGTCACAATGTCCCTTGGCTCCATCAGGCCCCGCAGTGTCACAGTGCTCCCTGTGCTCCCTGAGGCCCCACATCACCCAGCCCAGGCCATTGCTGTGGTTCCAGTAGGATCCCAGTGACCCCCAGTCTCTCTCAGTATATCCCAGTTGTCCGCAGCATGCTCGCAGTCACTCCCTCTTCCTCCCAGTTACTTCCACAAGGATTCCTAGTCAGCCTCAGTGCAGTTCCAGTTGCTTCCAGTGTATCCCAGGAGTCCCCAGCATGTCTAAATTGCCCTGCATGCTCCTACTCACTGCCAGTGGGGTCCCAGTCCCCGTCTTTATTGTCCCAGTTGCCTCCAGCATGGTCCCAGTTGCTCCCAAATTCCTCCCAGTATGATCCCAGTTGCCCCAGTGTAGTCCCTGTCACTGCCAATATGATCCCAGTGGCCCCCAGTATAGACACAGTCACCCCCAGTTGCCACCAGTTGCCCCCAACATGGTCCCAGTTCTTCCTAGTGTTGTCCCCTCCAGTATCATTCCAGACACTCCCAGTGTAACCCAGTTGCCCCCAGCATGCTCATTCCCAGTCACCCCACTTGCCCCAGTATGGTTCCAGTTGCCCACAGCCTGACCTTATTCATTCCCAGTATATCCCAGTTGCCCCTGGCACACACCCATCATTCCCAGTTGCTCCCAGTAGCCCCCAGTGTGCTCCCAGTCACTCCCAGTTTTTCCATGTCCATGCTCCGAGTGCTGCTCCCAGCCCTGATCCGTGGGGATGGGAATGTCCCGCTCCCTTGCCGGGGCAGGGTCACACCTGAGCCAGGTGTGCAGGGCAGGGCCTTGCCCTGACCCCAAGCACAAAGGGGGCTGTGCACCCCCTCTGCCCCCTCCCCAAATTCCCTCTGGGGGAGCAGGAGCTGGGGCAGGAGCCCTGTGGGGAGGGACAAGGGGGTGACACCAGGATGGGGGGGGGGGACACACATGGCCCCTGGGGACCCCCCCCTCACCTTCTCCTGAAGCACCAGGAGGATGAACCCCAACAGTGAGCCACTGACCCCTGGCAGTACCTTGGGGGGTAGGGTCTGGTGGTTGCTTTGGGGCTCTGGGGGAGTCACAACCACCCAAAAACCCCCTCCCAGCCCCACAGCCACTCCCAGTCCCCTCAAACCACCGCACAGCTCCTGGCCAGGACACCCCCAACTACTCCCTGCAAGATAAAACACCCCAAGAACCATCAAAACCCCTTCCCATCTCCCCCAAGACCCACCCAAATTATCTCCAAGCCACACAGCCCTGACAGGACCCCCAGCCTCCCTCACAACCCGCTCCAAAGGCCCCCAAATCCCCTCCCAGTACCACAATGGTCCCAAGAGCCACAAAAGCCTCTCTCAGTCCACCCAGGAGTTCCTAAAACCCCTCCCAGCCCTCCATGGAGTTGACCAGATGGGCAGGAACATTTACAGCCCAGAGCAGCTGGGGCACTTCAGCATTAATTTGGGCACTTTGGTGGGGACACCCCAGATAAGGAGACCCAGGCCAGGGACTGGAACAGACAACTGAAAGTCCTGGAGAACAGATGGGCTTGGGTGGACACATTCTGTTGGAACAAACACAAGATCATGGCCATGTCCCTTGGCTTGGATGGTCCCAGAACACCCAAATCCTCCTGAATCTTCCCCTGAACCCCAAATTCATGCTCAAATCCCAGTAAAATGATTCAGCTTTAGATTTCTTTGCTTAATTTCTTTATTTTTACCCCAGTTCTAGGTGTTTTGATGGGATAAACATGGAAATTATTCAGATAGGAAAAGATCTCCAAGATCATCTATTGTTGCTTAATGCCACCAGAAGAAAAAATTACACAGCAGGTGAGATTTTTTTGGGCTGTAAAGTCAAAGAAACAGCTCTTCCCAATTAATTTTCAGTGTTGATCAGAGTCCTGATGGATATTCCTGCCCTGAGTTCACCAGGTGCCTATGGGGATCTAGAAGGACCCTTCTGGAGACCACCTTCCAGGTCTCTCCCCAACATGGATCACGGGGAATGTGGGTCACCAGGGCTCAAACCAATATGGGTTCTCCAGTGGGGGATGGAGGTGGGGCAATGCACAAAGCTCGTCCCGCAGTTGGGGCATTTGCAGGGCTTCCCTTAATGGTGCCTCCGTTGGTGTCGGGTAAAGAATGAGCGGTCTGAGAAGCTCTTCCCACACTGGGGACACTCGTAGGGCCTCTCCCCAGTGTGGATGCGCCGGTGGGTGACGAGGGTGGAGTTGTGCTTGAAGCCCATCCCACAGTCGGGGCAGCGGAAGGGCCTCTCCTCTCTGTGAATCCGCTCATGGACAAGGAGGTGGGAGCTGGTGTGAAAACTCTTCCCACACTCAGGACACTCATAGGGCCTCTCCCCGGTGTGGAACCTCTGGTGGACAGTCAGGTCGGACCTGTGGCTGAAGCTCATCCCACACTCCCCACACTCATAGGGCCGTTCCCCGGTGTGGATCCTCTGGTGGCAGATCAGGTTGAATCTCCTCCTGAAGCTTTTCCCACACTCCAAGCACTCATAAAGCCTCTCCCTGTCATGAAGCTGCTCATGGACCACCAGCTCTGAGCTCTGGTTGCATCTCTGGCTGCCTTCCCGGCCTAGGGTGGGTCTTTTCTCCTCAGAGAACCCTGGTCTGGGTTTGCAGCCCCTCCTCCTGTGGGATCTCTGGGGCTTTTCCTCCCCATTGGATTTCTGTGCAGTGGAGCCGCCCAAAATGGCCTCTGCCATGAGGTTCTTCCCTGGGGATTTGTCCTGCCTGGTCTCCATCCTCAGCTCCTTGTCTGGGGGAGGAAAGACAAGGAGAGGATGGGATTTGCTCCATGCCAGAGGGAGGGGGAAGGAGATCCCCCCAGGGTGTCCCTGGCAGGACAGGGTCAGCAGAGGGGTTGTCCTGCAGCCAGGGGCCGTGCTGAGCTGGGAGATGGAGAAGGAGAGAGAGGCAAAGGGGCACTGACTTCCTGCTCACCTGCCTGGGTGTCCCGGGGCTCCTTCCTCTTCCTCACAGCCTCCTCCTACATCTGGCCAAGATTTAGGAATGGGAAGTCCTGGTTTGGGAAAAACAAGGTGTGAATGCCTTGGGTCGGGGATTCCTCTCACCCAAGTCCATCTCTAGAGGTCACCTGATGTCCATAAAAACCTCAAAACATCAAGAGTGAATTAAAAAAAGCCACCAGGAATGTCCCATTTCCAGTCTCATCCCTCTGGGGTTCTGGTCATCCCCTGTCTCAGGGCTGCTGGGGATCCCATGGATCCTGGGGATCCCCCCTCTCCAGGGACCTGCTTCAGGATGCTGGGGGGTTTCAGGATCCCCCTCTCCAACCTCCCCCCAATGCAGCCACTTGGGGCTCCCTTCTCTCCCCCCCCACCCTGACCTAGTTTAGGGCAAATTTGGGAGAAAACCTCCAAAGGGGTTTCCACTAGAAAGCAAATTCAAGCAGGTCCTCCCCCAGCTGGTTCGGGAAAACATTTCCTTGGAGAAAAGTGGAAAAAAAACCTGTTTATTTTACAGGTAAAGCATTCACCAGCCAGCAAGAAATGAACAATATTAAATAATAAAACCTCTTGCTGCTCCAAAGGAGATCAGAAACTCAGAAAGGCCCTCTGCAGGCTGTAGCTTGGCTCACTCAGTCTCTTATCAGTCTCTGATCAGCCTCTTATCAGTCCCTCCAGCACTGCAAATGCTGTGGCCGGGAAATAAAACCTCTTGCTGCTCCAAAGGAGATCAGAAACTCAGAAAGGCCCTCTGCAGGCTGTAGCTTGGCTCACTCAGTCTCTTATCAGTCTCTGATCAGCCTCTGATCAGCACTGCAAATGCTGTGGCCTGGCTTAGCCTCGTGGGCCACAGGTGCGAGTTACAGGTGCTCTTCTGGGTGATCAGAGCAGGTTTAAACAGCTCCAAAGAAAAAGAAAAACCACAGTCCAGGGAACTTCTCTGCCTCAGCGAGCTAAAAATTAACTAAAAGCAAAGGAGAGCTCTGTCCTGCTGTCTGTTCACAGACAATGATACCTTTGGTTTTAAGTTTTTCTGTTCTGTTTTGGTGTGCAGCTTTTAGCTTTATATTAAGTGTTACTGGGATCTTTTCACAGGTTGATGAAGACAAAACAATCCTCTTCTAGCTGGAGACTCAAGGACAATCTGTTCAAACTTCAGGCCCAAAGCATAAACAACATGAAAAGAGGAGGGCGGGCAAGCAAGCAAGGAGGATGAAACGTCATGATTTGAAGCTATTAATTGGGCAGTTATCCCCTATATGTAAACAGACTAAAACTTATAACAATGTGAGATCTCCTGACCAAGCCCTCTTTTGCTCCCATCTTGGAGCCATCCGGGCAGAGCCAGGACTGTGGCTCCGGTACTGCCAGGGTGTGGCCTTTGAAGGCACTTCAATAAAAATCCACTTTATTCCTCTTAACTCCGTCCGGCCTCTGTTCCAGCTCCTTAAGGCATCACAACAGTCCAGGAGCTGGAATGTGGAGGAGTTAGTGCAGTTTCTGAAAACAAACTGCTGCTTCTTCCTCCCCACCTTCACTCTCAGAACCAGCCTTAGAGGTGCAGAACTCATTTCTGGGCTAAACAGACCAAAGGGGGCACGAGCATCATGAAGTCACCCCAGGACACGCCCCTGTCAGGGTCAGGGGGTCCCGTCCCCGCCTCATCTCCGGGCTGCCGGGGGTCCCCCGGCTCCGGTATCGCCCCTTCCCCTCTCCCCGCCCCGGGGCTCCCACGTTCCACAGCCCCGGCTCTCACGGGGATCCCCAAAACCAATGTCCCGCCCTGTCGGTACCGGGCCATCCCCGCATGGATCCCCCGGGACCCTCCCGAGGAGCGATCGCAGCTCCTCTCCCCCCGAAAAAGCTGCTCTAGGGAGCCCGGAGATATCCGGGGCTGGAGTCCGGGATCTGCCGGCTCCCAACGCTCTCCAAGAAAATCCTCCCGGAGACCCTTCGATAGAGCCGGGGCGAGCTCGGCCTCCCCCCTCACCTGCGGCTCGGGGCTGGGGCGATGCTCCCGGGGCAGGGGGTGCTGCAGGCTCAGCGTGCGGGCGCTGCGAGCGCCGGGATTCTCCCGCTCCCGCTCCTGCTCCTCCTCCTCTCCCTCCTCTTCCTCCCGCATTTCCTCCCCTCCCACCCCGCGGCTCCCTTTCCCGCCCCCTGCCCCGGCTGCTGGGTGGGGGGAGCCCCCGATCGGCCCCGGGGGTGGGCGGGGGGCTCGGGGACCCCCCCGGGGCGGATCCGCCCCCCGGCCCGAGCCCCAAATTCCGCTCCGGGGCCGCCGGGCTCTGCGGGTCTGCCTGGCAACCGGTGAGTCATCGGAGAAAAAAGCTCTGGTTGGCTGGAAATCGTCTAGTGCGTCCTCTGATTGGCTGAAATTGTAAAGGCGCTGTCGCCCTGCGGGTGTCCCTGGGAGCTGCGGAGCCCGGGCCGGAGCTTTTTCCTATTTCTTTCTGTCTCTCTTAGGTCTCTTTCCTGTTTCTTTCTGTCCCTCTCTCCTTCCCATTTCTTGTTCAGTTCAATCCATGTTCAATACAAGGTCTCATTTGCACCTTCACTGCGGCAGAGGCGTCTCTCCCTCATGGGATCCCAACCCGCGGGCCGGCTCCCTTCCCACCGCAGTCGTTCCAGGATTCTGTCAGGGACTCGCTTCCCTTCTTCCCTCTGCTTCCAGCTGGGAATGTACTGGAAAATGCCACCTTTGCTGTGTGCTCCGGGAGCCCACAGAGCTGCTGGACCTTGTCCCCTGGCCCTGCACAGCTCCTCGGGAGGCGCGGCAGGAGCAGCACCCTGGGAGCCTCGGGAATGCCCCTCTGGGATCCACGGCACACACTCCCAGGGGCTGGAATTCCAATTCCCAGCCAGGAAAATATGTTCGTGGCCTTGAAGGCAAAGCTCTTAAGAAGGGGCCAAAAGCCAAGTGGAGCAAGATCTTAGTCACCTTTCACTGCCAACCTTCATAACTTCACCCATGGCTGTTGCAGCTCTTGGATTGGGAATTAAATCAGGGCAGGGCCTTTGGTGGGAGCTGCCCTGGGTCAGGAGAGACACTGAGACAGAAACAGAGCAGGCAGAGAAAAGACACAATCACAATCCACTGAGAAGGTGGCTCAGCACTGGCAGGGGCTGGGGGATGTCCTAGAGAGGGCTGTGTCACAGCAGCACCTCTGTGGCAGTTTCATAGAGGCACAGAGCAGCTGTGATGTCAGCAAGGGGCTGTGTGACAGCACAGAGTGGGCTGTGTGAGGTCACAGGTTGGGCTATGACATCACAGGGTTTGTTTTGTGAGGTCATCAAGCAACTGCACCATCATAGAGGACACTGTGTGACATCACAGAGCAGACTGTGACATCATGGCATGGCTGTATAGAGCATAGAGCAGGCTGTGATGTGAAAGTGTGTGCTGTGATATTATAGAGTGGCAGTGTGACATCAGAGGGCTTTGTGACATCACTAGAGGGGTTGTGACATCATAGAGCTGGCTGTAACATCATGGAGTAGAGTGTGTGGCCATAGAGCAAACCCTGCCATCATAGAGGGTGGCTTTGTGACATCAGAGAGTGGGTTGTGACATCACTGGCTGGCTGTGTAACATCATAGAGCAGGCTGTGACATCACAGAACAGACTGTGACATCACAGGGTGACATTGTGACATCACAGAGTCTTCTGAGATGTCACAACACAGCTGTAGGACATCAGAGGGTGACATCACAGCATTGGCACTGTGACATTACAAAGGTGCTGTGTGACATCCAAGAGTGGGCTGTGGCATTACTGGGAGGCTGTGTGACATTACAGGGACTCTGTGACATCACAGGGTGACTGTGGCATCACAGAGACAGCTGTGTCAGCAACTAAAAAACCAAACAAAATCCAGGCAAACAAATCAGAAATGAACCGAGAATTGTGTGTGTGTGTGTGTGTGTGTGTGTGTGTGTGTGACACAAGGACAGTGAGGGCAAGGATAAAAGGAATATGGCCCAAAAGCTGAACAGAGCTCAAAGTTAACAGGACTTAACTTACACTTTAACCTTAACCGATACATTCAACTTCATATTTTAGCAAAAGAACAGCACTTAATAGTATTTAACCTAACTTAAAGCCTATGACATAGCAATTAAAAATAGGAATAACACTTAATATTTAACTTAGCTTATAACTTATATTAAACTTAGCAAAAAAAAACAACTCTTAGCAGCACTTCATTTAGCTTAGACGTCATGACTTAACCTCACTTACAGGCCTGACTGACTCAGCTATCCAAGGCACTCAAACCCCTCAGAGAGCAGCATTTCTGCCACATTTCACCAAGCACAGGCACTCCTGTGTGCACACAGACACAGAGAGTCAGTGTAAGGCACCTGTGAGAAATACCCCTGGGGACAGGAAATGCTCACTGTGGAGTCTTTGCCTCATGGAACCAAGGGGCCATTGTGACACTGATGGGACTCATGGGATCATGGAGACCATTGTGACACTGTGAGACCTCATGGAACCAGTGAGACCACTGTGACCCTGGGGGTCCCCACAGAACCAAGAGGGCCATTGTGATACTGTGGGGCCTTGTGAAACCAAGAGGTCTTTGTGACACTGCAGGGCTGCATGGAACCAAAGGTCCAGGGTGACACAGAGAGGCCTCCTGTAATCAATAGCCCATTGTGACACTGTGGAGCCAGAGGAGACCATTGTGACACTGCAAACCCCCAGGGTCCAAAGGTCCATTGTGACATTGCAGGGCTCATGGAACAGAGGAGCCACATGACACTGTGGGGCCTGTAGAACCACAGAGACCATTGTGACACTGCAAGACCTCATGGAACCAAGCTGTCATTGTGATACTATGGGGCACCATAAAACCAAGGCAACATGGAACAGGCCTGGCTGGTTTGGCCTCCCAGACTCCCTGACTGGTCCAGCTGACCTTGGCATATTGAATGTCACTTCTCCTCTGCTTCTGAAACACTGGAGCTCCGTACTTTCCTTCCTATGGAAAAGAACTGTCCTTCTCCTTCAGGCACCCATGGCCAGAATTGGGATTTCACCTCCAAATTCCATTATATCCAGAGATTGTTCCCATAGGAATATTGCCAGGACCACTCTGGCTGGCAATGGTTTCATGAGGGTCACCTCCCATCTGCCCCAAAAAAACTGGGGAAGGCTCTGTGCTCTCCTTCCTATAGGAAAGAACTGTCCTGCTTCTCCAGGCACCCATAGCCAAGATTGGGCTTCCACTTCCAAAATTCCCTACGTCCAAAGATGGCTCCCAGAAAAATCTACCATTGCTGACAAGTCTGTCTGGCCTTGGCCAAGTGAGGCTCTTCCCTGCCTTCCAAACACTGGGGCTCTGGGCCTTCCTTCCTATGGAAAAGAACTGTCCTTCTCAGCCAGGTGTCCATGGTCAGAATTGGGATTTCACCTCCAACATTGCCTATTGTGATAGAGTGGAAAAGATTGTTGGCTCAAAACATTTCATGTGTGTGGGGGAGGAAGGGGCAGGTCCAGCCTTGCCCTGCCCTGTAACCCCAGCACTGCCCTGCCCTGGAACCCCAATCCCCCCAGAGCCTCTATCCCAGCCCAGCAGTGGCTGCCAGTCCCTGGCACAGCACAGGCAATGCTCCACAGCCACCTCTGGAGCCCCAGCCCAGCTCCTGAGTGACCAAATGACCCCAAGTCTCACCTGGGGGAAAGACCCAGGAAGACCAAGGGGTATTGAAGGCTGACTACAAGGCAAGCACACATCTTGAACCTACCTCTTCTTGGAATTTCTGTCTGAACACTGCTTGAATCCAGGAGTTGGTAGCTGTGTCTGTGCTTCTCTGAATCTTTTTTGTCTTCCTTGCTTTGTGTGTCGTATTCTAGTTCCGTCCTCTTGCAAATTTTGAGTAACTTAAAATTGAATGAGCTAAGAGTTTGTCAAGTTAAATGGGGCAAGGTAATGCTTTGAGAAGTGTCTTTGATTGATTGAATGTTGTATTAAACCATGTGCCAAGATTCTCTGATTTTCTAAAGTTGCCAGTAAAGGCTGTTTTGTTGTTTTGAGCTCCTCAGAAACTCTTTTCAGTATTTCTCAGTACATCCAACTCAGAGTACACAAACAATTGTAATTCCTTTTAAATGTCTCATTGAGAGAATTGTTTGGAGGGTGGGAGTCAGGGCTTGTCTTTCCTGCTTGGCACAACCCAGGCAGGGCTTTCCCAGCCACATTCCACACTCCATTTCCCAGCTGGAGCCGCTGCTGCCTCTGAGTTCTGCTGGCCCAGCCCCAGGGATGCTCTCCTTGTCTGCCCATTCCCCCACGGTCTCTGGGCAGGGATGGCCTCAGTGGGGGCTTCTGACATCCTCAGCAACTTGGAGCCTGCTGCTGGATTTCACTGCTCCAGAGGCTTGTTCAGCCTTCAGCTCTTCAGTGCAGGAATTCAGTGTCCCAGGGCTCATTAACATTCCACGCCTCTGGGAATAATTTGATTTAAGTTTCCTAATCCTTTGTGGTTGATTAGAAATATTTCAGAAGGCTATTCAAAGCAAATAGACTATATTGAAAAAAAGAGAGAGAAAATATTTGTTTAGGTCCTGCAAATTTTATTTTTTTTTTACTGGTAATTCATTGATATGTGCAATCTCCAATTGACACTGAATCCAAGTACCACCTGATGCAGTTTCAATAGATATGAAAATCAAGACCCTTCATGGCTGACAATCAATCAGACTCTATCCCTACCCCCACCCCACCATTTCATCCAGGCCCTGGCACTCAGAGCAGCCTTGTGCAAATCTGAGCTCCCTCCAGCCAAGACTGCCCCTGCAGGTTTCAGCTCCTTGGCACCAACTCCCACCTGCTTTCCTTGGAGAAGGAGCTGCCCGAGACACAGAGGGATGTTCATTGATTGTCAGCCAACAAAGCCAAGGGAAGGCACAACTCCATCCAATGCAAAAGTCATTCTTCTCCCTGGCTCTGCCCTGCCCGTGATCCCTACAGCCTGCCCTGTTTCCTTCAACCCTCCTTTGCAAGGCACTTTCTGGGACAAGGGAGCTCTGGACTGGGTATGGATGGAGGTCCAAGTGCAGCCGCTGGAGTGGGAACCACAACTCATCAGGTGTCCTTTGAGGGACCAGGAACTGGTGAGACTCAGAGGCACAGGAAGGCTTCTCTTCATGGCCAACATAAAAAATGTGAACATAATAAAATTTAAGAAACATCAAACCCCTTCCCTAAGTTACTTGTGACATCACAGCAACATCTGACATGTCCACCATCCACAAGAGATTGCCATACAGGAAGGATTTTAGACAAAGACTGAAGAAGAGGTGATATAAAAGATAAAAATGCAACTAAGAAGTTGACTAAAGACGTATTTAAACTTTTGAAAGATTGGGTGACTCCCTGAAGCTCAAAGCATGAAGCCAGTCAAACGACACACATTGGAATGTCCAGAGAGCAGCTGCAGGAGGAAATCTGGGAGCAACAGGAAGGACATAGATCCAGCTGCTCTAAATGAAGATAGATAACTTTTTATTCATAACACTGCCGGTACGGCCGCTGCTGCTAGCGAGGAGAGAGACTGTCCCCGCCACGAGGACAGAGTCACCGCCGCGCATGCCTCCTGTTATGAATAAAAAGTTATCTATTTTTTTTTTTTAGGTTGCAGAGTTAAAAACAAGTCAGACCAGTTGCTGTTAAGTTAGCTTCATTGTTAAGAGTTCGTCTTCAATTACCTGTTAATGGTTGGTGATTAACCATTGTCCCCCTGATGCTTGCCAAGGAGGGACACCGGCACCCTCCAAGTACAAGGAGGATGGGAGTGGCATCAGAGCTAGTATGCAGATGAGAAATGCATTGCGCCCCAAATTTTGCAGTTTTCCCAGGAAAACCCCTAAAGTTGTGAGCCAACATAGAACTAAGTGACCTAAGTGACGTCTAAGGATGGGAGTGTAGTCCAGTACCTGCTTGGATCCTTTTTGCTTCTCACCCTAACCTCAAAAGATGTTGATTAAAGAGATGACCCGGGGTGTTGGACCAAAAAGGCAGAATCTGCTAATCTCTCATGAGGACGGAATCCCCAGCTCTGCCTGCAGACCAGCGGACAAAGCTGCATCACCCTCCTCCTCCATGCCACTCCTGGGAGCAACGGTGGCGTGGGCGCGACCCGTTGATTTCTCCCCATCTGAGCTGATTTTTCTTAATAAAGGCATTAAAAAGGAGAAAGATCTCCTGCCCATTTATTTCACGTGCAAGTGCTGCGCCATCTGACTTACGCCAGCGCTGCTGCCACCATGGGAAAGAACAGCTCCTGTGCCATGCTGCCGATTCCAAGCCGCACCATCCTCGTGCGGGAGAGAAATAAAGCAGCTCGGAGAAGCCAGCACAGCATCGTTCCTTATTTCCTTTATCATGATGCTTAGACGTTGAGCCCACGTTTTGAGCAGTTGAACCGTGACCCTGCCGGCCGGCAGCAGAGGTAGGGCACAGCCACTTGTGGCGCCTGCCCTGATTGCCTCCAGCCATTGGGGCACGCTGGTGCACACCTCAGCTGTCTGCAGGGTGCACGGATGCCCCTGCGAAGTGAAGTTCGTAGTCCATCAAATGCCGCCGGCAATTTCACACATTTTCTGGTTGCTGCAGCTCCAGGCGGGCAGGAAAGTCAACCCCCTCCGTTCCAGACGTGAGAGAAGCTTTCCCCTGGATCAAGGACTACCTCCGAGATTTTCATTACCAAGAATCTTCGGTTTCGTGAGTATTCCAGTGGCTGGGACGGACCCAACTGGGGTACCCTGAAGTTGGCACCTCACCCAGAGTCTCAGAATGGAGAATGTCAAATAGCTTTGCCTTCATTTTGTGGTTCTTCTCCCCATAATCCCTTTCTCACCTGCTCCCTTCCCCCTTCCCTCAAATCACAAAATGGTGGACACCGCATGGCTTGGTCCCCATCTTGTGGTCCTCTTTCTACTTCCCATAATCGCTTTTTCCTCTGTTCCCTTCCCCTGTCCCAAACCCCACAATTGTGCTCTGGCTACTCCTCTTCCCATCCTCCAATTACCCTAGCTTTACCCCCTGTATCTCCCTTCAATGAAGTGTTTCTAGATTTTGTAGGCAAAGTCAGTGAGGTGTGGAGGATCAGGAATGGGACATTTATTACTCCTAAAAAGGCTATATTTATGATAAGTTTCTACTGTTTACACGTCTAGCTAATACATGATTGGTTAATCCTAGCTGTTCACGCGTCTAAATTAGAATGCTCATTGGATAGTCTGATTTTTCACATGTTTTGCTGTGGTCATCTGGCCCACCCTTTGCTTCTTTTTTCTCACTTTCTCAAACTTGCTGACTTGATGGCTCTTCTGAGTCTTGATGGCTCTTCTTCTTGTATCTTTCTCAAGGACATACCGATCCCGTTTCTGAATATGTCCATTATCCATTGTTACCAGCAGGCTGGATTGTGCATCAGCTGAATATGGCCATTGTTTTGCAAAAACTCCGCAACCTGCAAAAAAAATTTTCAACAGTTCCCCATTTTTGTTTTTGCACAAGCCAGACTGAATTAAAAGCATGTTCAATTAACTTTTGCACACAGCGTAGTAAACAAGGCACTATAAGTAAAATTGCTAAAAGAATACAAAGTATCATAATGCTAATGCATACTAAATCTTTAAGTTAGCCTGTTATCCTCTAGGATTTTAGCCACTCATCAAAGGAATTCTCTACAACTGTGAGCTTTTTCATGGTTTCCTTAAGCAGTGACAGTTTCTTGTGAATAGATTCAGAGTGGTCAGAGAGATTCATGCAAACACATTCTTTCAAAATCTTCACACCCATGTCCTTGAACTAGCAACAGAAAATCTATGGCAACTCTGTCCTGTAACACAGTGTGGCATATGCTACCTACATTAGTGGTAAGTTCATTCAGTATTGTGGATGTAAGGTTAATTTGCTTTCCTGCCCAACAAGCTAATCGTCTTAACTGAGTAAGGGCTTGTGCTGAGGCTACTCCTGGTGAAAAAATTGAGGCTAGTATAACTGAAGGTTGATTCCATAATTCTACATCATCTTTACAGTCTGACCTTAATAGATGCACACTACATTTTGCACATTGGAACTTGTGCCTGATGTTAAGCATCTGTTGAATGTTCAGGTAAAACAATATCAATTTTCTAAAATGGCATGGTCCTCTTAATGCTTTCTGAGGAGCCACAGGCCAAACTCTATCTCCACAAATGAGAAAAACTCTGGGAGGTAGCATCCTAGCTGATTTTTGTTTTATGGGTACAAGCTGTGTCCAGTTGGCACAGTATGCTGTAGTATTGTAATACCATGAAGAAACAGGAGATATACAAGTGCTGTCATTTCTGGGTTTTCCTAATTTGTCCCTAATCAGCTCTTTAAGTTTGTAGTACCCAAAGAACAAACAGTAATTTCCTGGCATTGATCCCAAAATATCCAATTCTTGTGGTTCTTGACTTGTAGTATTTAAGTTTCGAGCAATTGTAAATGCTTGAGCTCCTAAGGGGTTTTTATTAATCCCTTGTTTTTCACACTAATTTTCTGTAACAACCCCGTTTTAATTGGTACACCAATTTGACCAGGCCTTACTTAAGTTACCATAAATTTGAGCTCTGGTTCAATTTCCAAATTCATGCCTATTCTTTGCCTAATATACCTTAGCCTCGTCCCACTGAAAGTCAGCAACGTGATGTTTTTGTGGCTCTGCTATTCCTACTCCACATTCAGTAGCTATTATTTTGCTCTCTAGTATAATTTGGTTTGTTAAAGCAACTATAGCAAGATGTAATTGCACCCACAGTAACAATCTTTGATCCTGTCTTTCTATCAAAGATAAATCCTGGAGAAAACTCTGATGTCCTTCTGACCTTTGTGGATTATGCCCTAAAAATAGAGCTAATGCTGTGGTTGGGTTAATATTGCTAAGTATCTGAAAACATCTATTGCACGCTAGGTTAGCAGACCTAAATTTTTGCTTTCTCTCTTGAGCTAAAGTTAGATTATGTTCTTGACGAACTTACCGTCAAATTTTCAAGTTACACTTTATACAAGGCTTACATGCATAGCCATGCACAGAGCAAGCATTTTCTATCTGACTTACAACTTGTGATGAAAATAAAAGGAAATAGTTTCCGGTTGTGTCCAACTCGTGTATAGTAAACCTTCGTGGAGGTGCCTCTATTGCTGCAGCAAATTCTAGCAATATTGGTAAAGATTCTGAGTGTTGTTCAGCTGTCAGGTGTTGAAGAAGTGGATTCAAGGCTGTCTGGATTCGGGGTTGTCACCGACTCTCCACCTCTGGGCACAACACGGGTTGATGACGGTGGTTTCAGACAAGGGCTTCACCCACTTGGCTGGAATCCAGCGAATGCCTTTATCTGTAAGTAAGTACATATAACCTCTACCTATTAATTTTACTGCAGCTAGTCCTTCCCACATCCCTGTTTCTGGGCTCTTGAACACGACCTGAACTCCATCAGGCAATTCCTCACTTGGATTACGTATAAGGACATGATGCACAAGAATAGGTGGATCACCCCTATCTCCTGTTGTTCTAAGGTAATTAAGCACAAAGATGGCTTTAGCTGTTTGTTTTTTTTTTCAGGGGATAACCCTGTGCTTCCCCTTTTTTGTTCTTGCAGCATGCCCTTAAATGTCTGATGAGCATGCTCAGTAATTGCCTGACCAGTAGGACTGTGAGGAATACCAGTGTCATGTTGGATACTTTATAAATTACAGAAACGCTTGAATTGCAGGAAACTGTAGGCTGGATCATTGTCAGTCTTAATTGCTAAGGGGATACCTAATGTGGCAAAGCAATTGTACAAATGTTTTTTAACATGATGTGCTGTCTCACCTGTTAAGGGAGTAGCTTATACAACACAAGAGCAGGTATCAATGCAAACATGTACAAACTTTGACCAAATTCTGCTACATGAGTTACATCCATTTGCCATAATTGCAAGGGTTGAGTACTCTTGGGGTTGACACCAGTGCTTAAACTAATGCTACCTCATCGACAATCAGGATAGGATCGCACTATACCAGTAGCATCAGTAAGGGGAACACTAAATTGTTTAACTAACATTTTTGCAGATTGATGAAAAAAGGCATGGGAATTTTTAGCTTGCTGAAATTTATCAGAGGCTGGCATTGGCCAGACAGTGGCTACCAACAATCAGCTTGAGCATTACCAGGGAGAGTTTGATGACTACGAACATGAATAATAAAGTATTCTTGCTGTTGTTGATTTAAGTTTTTAAGGAATCAGCTTAAAAGGGAACACAGATGTTTATTACTCACCTCCTTAAGTACTGCTTTTTCAAGGCGTTGGATACAGCTAATTACATAAAGTAAAACAGAAACAATGTTAATGACTTAATTGTTCTATTTTTCAAAAGCCTAAATAACAGCTTTTCATTCTAATGTCTGCAGTGTATCTTTTTCTTCTTTAAAAATGACATGATTTTTCCATACTTTATCTTGCTGCTACGTGCAGGCAGCCTATTTTGACCTTTTACCTGCATCTGTAAACACTGTCAGCCCAGATACTGGACAGTCAGATCTCTAGGGTCTGTCTTCCAGATGCTGATGCTCCAATAAATATAACACTCGGTGTCACGGATAAGTATTGTGAATTTTACTATTATAATCACCCAATGCTATCTGTAAAGGAACAGAATGCCTGATTCCTCATTCAAGATACCAGTTAACCAATGGTATTACAATTGCAGATGGTGCATGTCTCCAGGTTTCATGTCTCCAGATTTCTAATATTCTCCCTCTGCCTTTCATAATCAAATGAGTAAAAAGTTCCAATCGAGTGGTAATAGTTCTAGACTGTTTTTACAGGTAAAAATACCCATTCCAAAATAACTAAGGGATTAGCTTGAGTTTTTATCTACTGACAAGGTGAAAGGATGCTTGGTATAATGGTCACCCTCTTTGCTCTGATTGATGATCCTCAATTGAAGTGGAACGTCTTTGATCATGCGATGTGCATGCGCTGTAGCAACCTTTGTGGCTATGTGATCCAAGGCCTGCTGTTGTCTCTTATCCAGGGTCTGACGTTCATCTGCCTGAGATGAAGTACCTAGTAACTGTATCAATCGTTCAATTTCTTTGTTAGTTATCCCACAAATAGTTCTAATCCATTGAATATCCCCCACTAATTTCTGGAAATCATGTACAGTTTTAATTTCAGTGGTGATGGTGAGTTTCTATGGTTTCACTAAAGATTGATCGATCTGCTACCCGAGATATTTCTAAGGAGCTGAATGTTGCACTTTATCAGGTGTAATTTTTAATCCTTTTTCTTCTAGCAAAGCGGCTATGGTTTTTAAAACAGTTACAGAGTCCAGTTGTTTTTTAGCTACTAAGATATCATCCATATAGTGATAGATGATATATTCAGGAAATTTTTGCCGAACAGGCTCTAGTGCCCAAGCGACATAAATTTGACACATTGTAGGCGAGTTACGCATCTCCTGGGGCAAATAAACCTATTTATACTTTTTGTAGGGTTCTGTCTTATTGATAGATGGAACAGAGAATGCAAAATGACTAGTACCATCTGGATGTAAGGGAATAGTGAAAAAACAATCCTTGAGATCAATGATCAATAGATTCCATGACTCAGGTATCATAGTAGGAGATGGAAGACCAGGTTGCAAGGCACCCATACTTAGCATTATTACATTAATGGCACGTAAATCATGTAGCAACCTCCATTACCCTTTTTTTTTAGGGATGCCAAAAATTGGGGTGTTCCAAGGGCTAGTAGATGGTTTTATATGTCCTGCTTCAAGCTGTTCTTGCACTAATTGTTGTATTATTAGCAGCTTTTCTTTTGACAGCGTCCACTGATCAATCCACACAGGTGTATCAGTGGTCCAGCTAATTTTGAGGATTGGCTACCTTCCAGTGGCTGCTGCTAAAAAGGCTGTATAACAATGGTTGCTTTTAGCTGGCTTAATAGATCTCTTCCAAGGAGACCTAATAAATTGCCAGGAGTCTGCATGACATAGGATCTTGTAGATACACTCACTCCATCTGGGAAAGTGAAAGCAATCACTTCTCTGCTTAACTGAGTTGCCTGAGTTCCTCCAATTCCTGCAATACCTAAGGTAGGGCTTATCAATACCCAATTTTTAGGCCATATTGTGTTTGAAATGATGGTTACATCTGCTCCAGTGCCAATTATGAGTGTCCTAGTAATAGAATCACCACTAGGATGTGTCAAGGTTACCTGTTTGTTTGGTCTACCTCTTGTGATGTCCATGGCTCAATATACTTCTGGTTTACCTGTGGAGCCAAAACTTCCTGTTCCCCACTCTTTCAAGCCTGTACAAGGGACACTAGACTTAAAAGGAACAAATTGAGCAATTTGTGAACCTTTGGAGATAGATACAGGAGGGAAAAATGTCCTAACCATGATTTTAATAACCCCTTGTAAGTCTGCATCAATAACCCCAGGAATTATATCCAATCCCATTTTGCTAGCAGATGATCTCACTAACAGAAAAAGCACTAAACCCATTCCCCAAGGGTCCTTTCCCATTAGTATCTATCAGGTGTACAGCAGAGTCCGTGATGGTAATGTCTGCTGTGGTTTCCACGTCCACTCCGGCGCTTCCGGAAGTTGATGATTTGAGTGAGTATAATCCTCCTCCTCCTTCATTGGAGGCTGAGCTGTCCATGCATTTCCCCGAGCTTTCGGGGGGTGCACTCCAAAAAGCGTTTCCCTAGAAACTACATTCTTTAGTACTGTGGTTATCTTTTTTGCAGATGGAACAAAACTTTTTCATTGTTGCTAAGTGACACTGACTCCGAACATGTCTAATTTTACTGCACCCAAAGCACTTAATGTTCTTTCCTTCTGCTTTCTTTTGCAGTTTAGAAATCAGTGGCTTTACTGCATCCTGTACTGCAGCAGCTACATAGGCTGCTTTTTGTCTTTCTGTAGTTCTAGCCATCTGTTCCAACATTTCTGTGACATCAGCTCCCTTCTTTAAAGTACTTAAAATTTGCTCAGTTTTATCATTAGTATTGTCAAAAGCTAGCATATTAAACAATTGTACCTTTGTGTCCAATTCTAAATCAGAATGATCATAAATAGTTTCATGCAATTGATCTACAAATTTATCAAAGTGTTCATTTACTCCTTGACAAATTTGAGTAAAAGACTTAGTGTGTAACCCATCTGGAAGTGTGAGGATGGCATTATATGCTAGTTGTTGGCTCATCTGTAAGACCATATCAATGCTTTTCGCTTGAGCAGTGGCCCAAGCCAAGCAACTGTTGTGCTGTTACACCATACAGAGGGTCACCCTGATCTCTACGTTTTGCTGCTTCTTGGGTGTATCTCGCTTCTCAGCTTTTATGGAGCATTACTTGCTCATGTAGTGGCATTATAAGTCTTATTATGGTGTGAACATCGGCTGGGATTAATGTGTTAGATGTGAAAACATACTGTAGAAGTGACTGCGCAAGTTGGGATTTTATACCAAAATGTGATATTGCTGCTTTCAGTTTCTCTAGAATTTTCCAATTAAAAGGTTCTTAAGTTCTGCTTGTAGCATTACTAACTACAGGGAAAGCCTCAATGTCATTTGAGAGGAAAGTCCCTTCCACAATAGCTTCTGTAATAACTCCCTTCCACTTTCGTTTCTGAGTTGCTTCTATTTCTGGATTACATTCCAACTCTAATTTCACATTCTTAACAGCGTGAGGGGGAATGTTTCATTTGACTGGCTCTAACTTTGTTTCAGAAACAGAGTGAGAGGATGTAAATCTCTTTCCTGAATGCTTATTTTAATCTACTATCATTGGCAGTTCTATTTTTTCAAAAGAATAGTCTCTTTTGGGGACAACTGCATCTTTTTGTTGAGTCACTAATTTTTGCAACTTGTCCACTAAGGATTTCAGATCCTCCTCAACAGAAGCACTACTCATGACAACATCTCTTTCCTTATCCTTTTTACTTACAGCATGTTTTGCCTCTCAGTTACTGTTATCAACAGTTCCTTCACTCGGAGTACAATTGTTTTTTGTTTGACAGCCTAATCATCGCAAAGAGGCAGCAGCTTCTGCATTCTTACTCTGAGCTGGGAGAGTAGTTGGTGTAACGCTCTATTCTGGTGTCGAAACTGAGTTGAGGAGTTCTGGAGTGCATGAGGGGATATGTTAAGGTCGCAGAGAACAGTTGCTGAACTGGAGTTACTGGAGTTACTGGAAATGCCTGAGGCTTTTCGTCTGACTCAGCCAGTGCAGCACAAGCTGCAGCAGCTGCCTTTCTCTCAGCCTTCAAAGTCTGCAATACGTCTATAACAGTTCTCCACAAAGTGGCATACTTAGACGCCTCTTTTGCCTCACTACCACCAGATGAAATAGAATCCCATATCATACGCCCCATAGCTTCCCAGGTTGGAATTTCAAAAACAACCTGTGCCCCTGCTATGAGATTACGGTCCCAAACCCAGTCAATTAGTCCTTTCAAAATGGAAGCATCATATTTTTGTTCTCTTAGAGAGGATATGTTGGAGGAGTTTCTGGACAGCTTCCTGTTCGTATTCAGACCCCATCTCCTCCCCAGCCGCCCACCTTGATCAGGGAGAGATTCAAGTCATCTGCAATTGGAGCTCCAGTCTGTAACCTTTTCTTCCCACTAGGGCAGTGAGGATAATTTCGACCAGCTTCTCTGCTCCACAAAGGCAGGCTGATCTTCTGCACAGCAGCCAAATTGCTGTCCTCGAGTCCCTCTCATGCTACCATGCTAGGGGTGCCCACATTCTCCACCAGAAATGCGGTGCGGAGGATCAGGAATGGGACATCACGCCATGATCAATGTGATTAAGTGAAGCCACATTTATTACCCCCAAAAAGGCTATATTTGTAATAAGTTTCTACTGTTTACACGTCTAGCTAATACATGATTGGTTAATCCTAGCTGTTCACGCGTCTAAATTAGAATGCTCATTGGATAGTCTGATTTTTCACATGTTTTGCTGTGGTCATCTGGCCCACCCTTTGCTTCTTTTTTCTCACTTTCTCAAACTTGCTGACAAACTTGCTGAGTCTTGATGGCTCTTCTTCTTGTATCTTTCTCAAGGACATACTGATCCCGTTTCTGAATATGTCCATTATTCATTGTCCATTATCCATTGTTACCAGCAGGCTGGATTGTGCATCAGCTGAATATGGCCATTGTTTTGCAAAAACTCCTCAACTTGCAAAAACTCCTCAACATCAATCTAATGTTGAAAGAACTCATGACTCTCTCAAAGGTCTTCTAGATAACCAGAAAGGGAGTAACCCACTACAGAGAGACTAAGCAAGGCACTGTATGTCTTTAATGTTTTAAATAATTTGTTTATGGAACCCAGTCCTTCTGTCCTTTGACATTTTACAAATACTTCACAGGCTCCATTAAAAGAAAGGCCACAAGTATTGATGAAAGAACCTGAAATTACCCAGATCCTGGGGCCATTTCCATTAATTATCTGGGGAGGGGATATGCTTCTGTCTCCATCAGTAAAGGGCCTTGGTGGATCCCAGTGAAAAACACCAAGTCCTACCTACAGCCACTGAATGAGGGTTCACCAGAGGAACACCCCAAGTCCACCCCAAGACAAGAACCACCAGACAATGACTTTGACACATGGACCAGACAACTCTTTTGAAAATGACCCATAATAAGCTTTGGCTCACCTTCCTCAGCCTGTTTGCAACCAGGCTCCTTGTGAGTGGATGGGTAGTTCCACAGACAAAACAGAATGTATGGGCAACCCTAGCAAAAGCCATAAAACAAGCTACCCTGTGCCTGTCCATTGCTAGCCCTGATGACCCCTTTTCCACCTGTCTAGTAGGGTTATCTGTGGGTGCGGCTGATAACTGAGGATGCCATCCATAGTATGTGAGGTGACAATCCTGATAGCAAATGGAAATGCAGCTCTGTCGACACCTGGGACTACTGGACCTGGAAGCTCCCGCATGCACCGTTTGAACCCCAGGAGCTAGAAATTCTCGGCTCTGTAAAAATGAACTTCTGTGTAAAGTTTTATTACTGACTGAGATAGGAAGAGGGTGAAAGACCCAAAATTACAAGAGAAAGAGAAACTAGCAGGAGGGACATCTCCCCATTCCATCCCACTTATAAAAATCAGGGCCGATGGTATAATTACACCTCTCCCATAATTTCCTGGTCCAGTAGCTACCCACTCCAGTTGCCGCAGGGTGTGTTTCTTATTTGCAGGGACAGAACATGGCCCAGTATCACTTCACTAATCAAAGGCGGACCTTGTAGCTTGGGGAGGCTTACCTGGCTGGCACCCAACACGAAAATGATTCATAGCCAGAGAGATAGAGCGAAAAGATCCATGCACTACTTTGAATCTGATGGCAAAGACAATGTTATGTATTGGAGTAAAACCAAGAGAATAGCAGCCTCCATCTTGTTCCCTTGGGTGGCTGCAGCCAAAGCCTTAGTGACAGTATAGGGATAAAATGTTTCTAAAACCATTGAATATTTAGGGGAGTTAGAAAGGAAGGATAGGCCTGGTAGGCCCTGGGAATATGTTAAAGTAGGCCCTGGGAAAATGTTAGGCTGCACCTGTATAATTATTTAATGACTATGATAAATAATATGATTGTTAGATGCAATGACTTTTTGGTAATTGGATATAATTATTGTTTAATTGTAACAAGAATCATGAGAAACTATGTTGGCATGGTTTGATGGAAATTAAAAAAACCATGCTTGGATGAAATCAATGTATACAATAGAAAAATAGAAGTTTAATAATTAATATGTAGTTATATAACAATAAGGGTATAAAAACATGTTCATCCTGAACCCATGCTGGAGTCAGATTTGGGTTTGTACCCCTGACACCCAGAGCTCTTCAATAAAAGCACCTGCATATAATCATTCTGTGATTATGTGTTCCTGAACTCTAACATTAGGACAATTAGAGCATCTTGGGTGCCTGCTAAGTAAGCAAACCAATGCTACCTCCCTTGTATTGAGTGGCCTGATCTCAGACGTAGATACCATGAGGCACACCACCTTGCAGAACAGGGCAGCAATAGACTTTCTACTTTTGGCACATGAGCACAGCTGTGAGGATTTTGAGGTAATGTGTTGCATGAACCTCTCCAGCCACAGCGAGTCAATACACAACAGCTGAGGGGAGGGTTCAAGAAGCTTCAAGTGGAAAACAAAGACTGGTTGAATAAACTCTTCTAATCCTAAGGACTGAAGGGTTGGATGATGTCTTTAGTCGAGAGGGGACTGCTGGTTTTCTTGGTTGCTGTTACTGTGGTGTTAGTTGTTCCATGCTTATTTGGATCTTTTTATAGAGTTTTGCAAAGTTCTTTCAGTTCAATTTTTGTTAGAAAACAGAAAAGGGGAGATGTGGGAATTGGCCCAGCTGTGACTCAAAGTCAGCCAGATTTCATCCCAAAAGAACTGGGCATTAGTTTCAAGCCCTGGGAATTATTTAACTTAGGGCAAGCCTGAGAGTTCCCCCATAAGCCCTTGGTGTTATTATGTTGTCCAAGTTCTGCTCCCCTATTGATTACTTGTTTCCCCTGTATGGTTACAGTTCCAGAATGTTCCACCCTCAAGTGTATATGTTGCTGCTTCCCCTTTGTTTTGGGTTTCTGGATGCTGCCCCTCATACTATGCTCAGCTACTCTACGTTTGCTGTTTTCCACCCTTTATTAAAGTTCTTTCCAGGCAACTCCATCGAACCTGCTCTTTTTCATTTTCTCCACCCTCGCCCTGAAGTTAGGGAACCAAAGAGGTTTGTTGCAACCACCCTCACCACGGCAGTGATGGATCTTAATCACTGCAGGCAATCTTTGGTCACGATGATTGTGTGCATTGCTGAGCTTCTCCTTCTGTGATTCTTTGCTGCTTTGAACTACAGTAAATGACACTGTTTCCTTCAGTTTGTGTTTGTGTCTTTGTGGGAGTGCTGACCCTGCCCCACTCATGAAACAAAACTGGCACAGTCTGGCCAGATCACAACAAAATGTCACTTCTTAAATGTAAATGTAAGGAATCAGTCCCATCTGAAATTCGCAGATGGGAAGCTCTTCTCTAGAGTTCACTAACTCTGAAGTGGACTGAGGTCAGAACACCGTGCAAGCAATGGGGCAGTCAGTTTAAAGAAGCTGAACCACTGGATGTATTAAAATGCATCCAATAATTGCATACGGAGAAAGGAAAACAACTTGTGGATGGGTAAAGATGAGGATTAATTTTGTTAACATCACATTGGAAACAGCACCAACAGAAGGAACAGTTGTTGGAACACTCTCACATGGAACGACAGCAGTTTTTAATCTTGAGCTTGTATTAATTTGTTCAAGTGAAAGAATATTAATATAATAAATAACTATATACATATATGTAATACAATATTTTAATATATATTTATAAGCATATATTTTTATCTAACAATATGTCTAGCTAAATCTATGTTTCTATCTATATCTTTATCTATATATATATAATAACATGAAATAATGCTGACAATTTTGATTTACCACCTTTGGCTGCTCAAGGATCTCACACTAAATATCCTACAGAAAAGCATTGGCCAGGACCTGAATGTCAGTGGTAAACTTTGTGAGATTGTGTACAACAAATAAAGGAGGAAGGGATGAAATTGGCTGTTTTTATGGGGTTTACTGATACTGTGATGTGGAATGATTTGTGTGTTACTGTGAAAAATACAGGGATTAAGACTGCTGGGTTTTTCATACACTACACTATCTACAGTCCACAGGATTGATTGAAGGGTAAAGGGGCTGTTCAAAGAGCAGTTGAAAAAAGGAGGAGATGGGAGCCTGTCCCCATGGAGAATTCATCTCACAGATGTGCTCCATACCTTTAACAAGGGTACAAGGGGCACCCTGGGAAATGGAAACCCCCTGGCTGTGCATGGCTGCACCCAGTTTGCAAATACAACCATGGACAGTGATGCTTTAACTTCCTGAGAAATTATTCTGGGTCTGATGGCACCTGACAGGGTCCACCCAGAGGCTGCAGGGCTGGACCTTCATGCATTAGAATTAGGATAAATCAAAAGCAAATGAAAGTTATCAATACTGACATAGGAACTCAAACTCCTCCAGGACATTTTGCTTTGATAACTGCTCGCTGGAGCTTGGCTTTGAAAAGCGTTCATGTCATGGGAGAAGGAGTTGATGGAGATTATCAAGGAGGAATTAAAGTAATTAAAGTCACTAAACAGTGAATAAGGTGATTATTCAACTCCATGACAGGGTAGCACAGTTATTGATACTGCAGTTTTGAAAACAATTGTGAAAAAAGGAGATGCACCTCCAAGATCACTGTTGCTGGAGATAAAGGATTTGGATCCAGCAGTCCTAATAATGGAGCCAAAGTGTGGGTCCAGAGGCCAAAAGGTCCTCCCAATCCAGCTGAAGGAACAGCTGTGGGGAAAGACAACACTATTTGAGTCCTGAAACCAAAATCACCAAGAAAAGGCTAAAATCACCCATGCGGGCTTAAGATCCACCCATATGGGCTTAAAATCATCCAAAGGGACCTAAAATCCACACTAAAATGCCTGAAATCACGCCAAGAGATCTAAAACCCACCCTAAACCTGCCCAGATTGGCCTAAAATCTCAGGGACTGGAACAGAGACTGGGACCAGAACTGATACCAGAACCAAGACCAGCACCGCTCTGGGACCGGCACCATTACTGGGACCGAGACTGAAACTGAAACTGGGACCAAGATCGACACTGGGACTGCCACCGGGAGTGCTTCAGGACCAG